ATGATGATGATGATGATGATGATGATGATGATGATGATGATGATGATGATGGTTAGTATGATGATAATGATGATGACGATGATCATGATTATACGAACGCCGATGATGATGAAGATGAAGACGATCATAAAGATGAATTTGATGATGATGTTGATGATCATGATATTGATGATGATGATGATGATCGTGATGCTGATGATGATTATGAGGATGAAGATGATGATGATGATGTTTCGGATGATGATTCGGATGATGATGATGATGATGATGATGATGATGATGATGATTCGGATGATGATGATGACGATGATGATGATGATGAGGATGATCATGATGATTCGAATGCAGATGATGATGAAGACGAAGACGATGATGAAGATGAGTTTGATGACGATGATAATGATCATGATGTTGATGATGATGATGATGATGATGGTGATGATGATGATTCGGAAGATGATGATGATGATGATGATTATTCATGATGATGATGATGTTTAGGATGATGACGATGATGACGATGATGATGATGATGATGATGTGTCAAGTGATGATGATGACGATGATGACGGTGATGAGATTGACCAATTGTTGGATCATGATTATCATCATTTTCATCATCATGATGATGATGATGATGACGATGATGGTGATGATGATCATGATCATGATGATTCGAATGCCGATGATTATGATGATGGTGATGATGACGATTCGGATGTTGAAGATGATGACAAGGATGGAAATGATGAAGAGGACGATGACTATGATGATGACGGTTGATCATGATGATGATGATGATGATGATGATGATGAAGATTCGGTGAATGATGATGTTGATGATTCCGAAAATGATGGTGAGAAATATATTCCTGATACTTGTGATGAAATTGATGATGTTGATGATGTGATGATGATGACGATCATTCGGATGATGATGATATTTTAGATAATTATTCGAATGATGTTGTTTCAGATTATGACGGTGATGACGATGATGATGATCATAATGATGATGATGACGTTGATGATTCAGATGATGATGATATTGTTGATGATATTTCGCATAATGATGATGATGTTGATGATGACCACGATGGTAATGTTGATTCGAATAAGGATGAAGATGATAATGATGATGATGATGATGAAAAGGTTGATGAAGATAATGATGATAATTCGGAAGATGATGATGATGGCCATGTTGATAATTATGGCGATGATGATGACGATGATGATGATGGTGATGATGATGATGATGATGATTGGGATGATGTAGATGATATTGATAATGATAATGATTCGGATGAAGATGAACTCGAATAATCGGATGACAATGGTGAGGTAAATGATTATTACGATGATAATGATGATAATGATTCGATAATGATGAAGATACCGATGAAGTAAATTGGATGACGATGATCCCATGATGACGATGCTGATGAACATTCTGTTGACGATAATGACAATGATGACGATGATTCGGATGACTATGATGATGATGATGATGATGCGCAAAATGTTTGGGATTTTCAGTATTATCTTGATGATATCGATGATACGGATAAACATGATGATGAGGATGATGACTTTAATGATTCGGATGACAATGATTTTGATTACGCTAATTCGGATGATGATGCTGATGATGATGGTGATTCGGATGATGATGATGCTGATGATGATGATGATGACGAGGAGGAGGAGGAGGAGGATGATGATGTTGAATATGAGGCTGATGTAAAAGAAAATGAAAATTCGGATGATGATGATGAAGATGATGACGATGATTTCAAAGAAAATGATTACGATGATGATCACTCGGATGATAATGATGAAGGTGATCTTGATGATGATGATGATGCCGCTGGTGATTATTTTGACGAGGTTGAGGATTATGTTGATGATGATTACGATGATGCAGATGATTGTAATTCGGCTGATGATCACAATGTGTCCGATGTGGCTGATAATCAAAATGATGATTGGGATGATGGTGATGATGATGATGATTCGCATGATGATAAAGTTGATTCGGATGACGGGCTTGATGATCTTAATGATGCTGATGAACACGATCATGCCGATGATGATAATGATGTTAACATTCATGATGATTCGGATGATGAAGTTGACAATGATGACGCTAATTCGAATGATTTTCCCGATCAGGATGAAATTCCGGAAGTTGATGACGATGATGATGCGGTAGACGATGATGATCATGATCATAATGATGATGACGATTTTGATGTTGATGATGATGATGGTTAGTTGGATAATGATGACAATGTTGATGATGATGATTATTCGGATGACAATTATGACGATGGGTCGGTTGATCATGTTAAGGATAATGATGACGACGATGACGACGATTATGTAGATGATGAATCAAAAGATGATGGCGATCATTATATTTACGATAATGATCCTGTTGCTGATGATCGATGATTCGTTAGATGAATATAATGATCATGATGATGATGATGATGATATTGATGATGTTGATTATGATGCTGATGATGATGAACAAGATGTTGACGATGATGTTTCGGATAATGATGATGATGATGACGCTGATGATGATGATGATGATTATGATGATGATGATGATGATGATGATGATGATGATGAAGAATATTCCGATGATGATGACGATAAATTTTCGAATGATGATCATGGGGAGGAGGAGGACGATGATTCGGATGGGGATCATGATGATCACGATTAAGATAATGATGAAGATGATGATGATGATGATGCTGGCGGCGAGTAGGATGAGGATGATGACGACGGTGATGACTCGGATGACGTTGATGATGATGTTGATGATGATGATGATGATGATTCATATGAAGGTGATGATGGTTCAGATGATGATGACCATCTTGACGACGGATCGGTTGATGACGATGATGATAAAGATGTTTCGAAAGATGATGATGGTGTTTCGGATGACGCTCATGGTTATGGTGTTGACGATGAGGATAATAATGATGATGATTCGAATGATAATGTTGATGATTATAATGATCATAATAGTGATGATTATTAGTATGATGATGATGATGATAACGATGCTGTTGCTTCGGATGATGATGACGAACATGATAAGCTTTCGGATGATCATGATGATGACCATTTTCAAGAGATGGTCATCGTTATCATGATTCGGAAAATGATGTTGTCCATGATATGAATTATGATGGTGACGATAATGATGATGATGATGATAATGATGGTGATGATTCGGATCGTGATGTTGATAATGATGATTACGATGATGATGTTGATATTGATGATGATTATGAACATAATGCTGATCATGTTCATGATATTTCGGTTGATTTCTTTAATGTTGATTATACGGATGATGGTGAGGTCGATTATTCGGATGATGGTGATTGGGATGAAGATGTTGATGATGATGGTCCTTATGATGACGTCGATGATGAGGTTGTTGATGATTCGGATGATGTTGATGTTGGTGATGTTTTTGATGACTCGGATAATGATGATGATCATGATGATGATGAAGATGATGATGATTCGGATGATGATGATGATGATTATGTTGTTGTTGATGATGATGAGGAGGAGGAGGAGGAGGTGGACGATGATGATGATGATGATGATGTTGATGTAAATGATCATTCGGTTGATGTTGATGTCGATAATTTGCATGATGATGCACGTGATAATTTGACGATTTTGTTGTTGACCGTGATCACCATGTTGATGATGCCGAAGGTGTTTCGGATTATGATGATAATCATATTGATGAAAATAATGGTGTTTTGGATGACGACCATGATGATGATGATGATCTTGACGATTATGATGATGCTGCGGCTGGTGATGAAGATGATTAAAATGATAATTTTGATGATGATGATGATGCTGTTGATGATAATATTGTTGAATATGACGATATGGATGAGGCTGATCATGATGATGATGATGATTATTCGGTTTATGTTGTTAATGTTGATGATTTGGATGATGATAATGTCGAATATTCGGATGATAATGATGGTGATGAAGATGATGACGGTGATGAGTTTCCTTATGATGATGTTGATTATGATGATGTTCATGGAAATGATGATGTTTCAGATGAAGTTTCGGATGACGAAGATGAGAACGATGATTGAAATTATATTCATGATGATAATGATGATGAGAATGTTGATGATTCGGATGAGGATGATGATGATTATCATTTTGATGTTTCGGATCATGATGATGATGATGATGATGATGATGATGATGATGATGATGATGATGATGATGATTATGTTGATGATGGTAATCTCGATGATGGGTCGTTTGATGATGATTATGATCATTCGGATGAGTATGATGATAATGATGATGATGTTGATGATGATGATTCGGATGATGATGATGATGATGGTGATGATGATGATGACGCAGACACGACACCGATACAGACCCAGACACGGACACAGAAACAGGCACGCTTGCACGCGCATACGTGTACTTGTTCGATCAAGAACCATTATGTCGGACACTAGATTTGACACGTGTGTGACCAATGCATGTATGACAATCGTCCCCCGTGCTTCAATGGGAGGTAGAGAAATCTATACAAAAAGCGTGGTCATCCACACATCGCTCGCAGATGTTAGGGGGGAGCTTAAGCAAACCGTCCAATCGCGCACGCTTTCGAGTCAGGCCACACGCACGTAAGCAACGCTGTAAAATATCCGGTTTATAAACTTCATATCTCGGTGCCTGGTACGGTTACGCGGAAGCGGTTCCTTTGATCACGCTTATCGTGGAATGACTTCAAAGGATAGCAAGCATACATCGTCCGCAACCATTGCCAGAAAATTGATATCTCCGCTCCCATAAGGGTAGAACGAAGCGGTTTGTGTAAGCACGCATACCTGGACCTGATCGTGACGGAGACGAGGCCTAGTTCACTCGCGACCATCCATTCTCGTAGTCTAATCACATATGTGGGCCGATAAAACGGATAGAACGAAGAAGTTGATTTGTTCACGCATATATATATATATATATATGTATGTATATATCTTAAGCGGACCGTAACGGACACAGAGTCTCATCCGCCGACGACCATTCATTCGGTCTGGTAAAACATGACATTTCTCGGCGCCCGAAAAGGACACGGGGAACCAGTTTGTTTCAACACGCATTACTCGATCCAACCTCATCCTCCCAGGACGATCGGTTGTGAAAGAACATAGAACTAGCTACGCTTTCATAAGGGTTAGGAACGAGCGATTGGTTTTAGCACGCATATCTCGAGCTGATGGGAACGGAGACCAGGCCTGATCGGCCCATGAACATCCGTTGTGGTAGAAAAACGTGATATCTCGGTTCGTGGTACAGATAGAGGGAAAAGGTTTGTTTGATCACGCATATCGCGGAATGAGCCGAAGGGAGACCGAGCCTCATGCTACCACAGCCACGTTTTCTGGCATTGGTGAGTCCAGTGTAAGAAGAAATATAACGATATGCCTGAGATTTTAAATCTTCGATGCAAGTAATAATACCTTTCTATTTACGTTAGATATATAATGGGAATTACATATTTCCGAAGCTTTACATACACCCGTTTCAGCACTCAATTCGCGCTAGATCAACACTTTCATACCACGAGTGGCTGATTTCGGTCATTAGTTTGTGACTTCCGTACTAACGAGGCATAGTACATTTGTGTGTTCATATTCGAAGGATGCCTGAATCACCCATTTTTGTTCCGTGTAGCCATTGTATTGTTCAAACTGTTGGCAATTCAGGTCCCATTATGTAGATTCGGTATATGTATTTCGGCGTAACAGAGACATGATACTTGCCTGCATCTTTTTTCACGTTCAAACTAGATCACCTCGACTCCTTATGCTTAACCAAG